GTAATTTCGTAATTTTTAACAATGAAATTCATAACTACGATATGAGGCCAACACTAATTCTGGAAAGAAGAAACAAAATAAATGCCGTTTGAGAAGTATGCAAACAATAATTTTTTTTCGCTTAGAAAATGAGGCTTACAAACATTTATAAATTTTTCATTTTTTATTTACGTATTTTGGCACTCATCCGAGGCAAAAATTTTTCACTATAGCACTTTCCCTTATTAGCAAAATTTGAGGCGCTCACATTTTACCTCTTTTCTCCAAAACAATAACAGAGGTAGCCTCCGCTGGTAAGACAGATTCAGTGGTTCCCCTTTTTGCAAGATGTCCAAAAACAAGCGATTTCAGTCAACGCACGCCACTGCCAATTTATAAGTGAAACAAATCAGCGATGTGCGCAAAGGATAACACGCGAAACAAATCCAATCCTTCTACGGTTGCAAAATGGTCCGAATTAGTGGTACTGAATCATGATCTTAAACCAGGCAATAGCATTACTTGTTATTGCAACAAATCTCACTTCTTAATTAAGTGGGGATCCTTTTGGTTGGGCAGTCCGAGTGGTAACCTCCTTTTCAGACCTTTTGGATGCATGCCAAACTTGGAGAGGAACACTGGAAAAAACAATAAAGCCTAGTACTGGTTAACCTGCGAGAGTTACAATATGCTTCAGGAGAAAATTGCACCAAAAAATAAATAGATTTCATTCCGGAATGTTTTGAATACAGATACTTTTAATATTGCAATTGATACTGTAAGTCGCATGTACTGCAGCTAACGATACAGTGGATTATAGGGTGGTGGTGGTGGTGGTGGGCCGCAATGTGGTTGATCCAAACTTAATTTTGGCCCAGCTGGTCTTGGAGGTTCTTGATTCCGAACCGGAATGAATTCCGGTGGCGTGTCCAAGGTATTCTGATATTTCCGAGTAATATGAATCTCGAATAGATGGTAGATCGCACAGACAATAGCAAGAACGAATATCCCGATCGCAGATACGAATAGCTCGTTACTGACAATAAAACGATCCTTTTCGTCAAGTTTTTCCCCACTCCAATACTAAAACATACATTCCTATGAAAAATGCACATAGTTTTGTAATATCCATATTATACTTACATATGCATGTGAAATTTGGAAAATTGTCGTGCATTACATATGTTATGTACGGCTATAAGTGCTTTACTTAACGCATTTTTAAATATGTAATTTTTTCTCCATGTAAATCTATATTCGTGTGCGTATAAATATATGTAATATATAAAGCCAAGAACAGCAAATTCACACATTTCTTGCAAGTGCATATCGGTGTAAGTGCGTATCCATGCACAAATTTATTTAGTTTTGTATAACATATTGCACGCATGTACACTTATACATATTCAGTTACTCCTTTTTTTCTATTTTATTTACTTTTGTGTACTCATTTTTATGCACAAATATTTATGACGTTTGTTTATATATACCAACAAATTAAATTTCATACATCAGTACATATTATGCAAAGGTGAAGTCTTCGTCTTGCCTCCTCAACCCGCCAACTGAAATTACAAAATACAAAAATAAAACAAAATTGAGTCATCTTTTGATGACATTCCTCCCGAACGTCGGAAAGTGACGTTCCAATCGGAGATCAAATCTCCGAGAGGAATCCGACTCTCTGTTCCCAAACCGCCCTCTTCCCCGCCGACTTTCTCATCGTAGATTGAATTCATGATGGCATAATCCATCGTTGGTTCCCAAGGCATTAACTTGGAATCCTGGATTCATAGACTGTAATGCGTATCTGTTACAGGATCATCACTATATAAGACGGACGATCCGATGATTCAAGGTCCGCGTATATCATCCGACTGAGTGCCCTACGTCAAATTATCTGACTCCGTTCACCGACTGAGTGTCCTACGTCAGCTAATCCAGTCATGCTACCATCGGTGATTCGCCAATCGCTCATTTTGCCTCTTGCCTTTGTCTCATAATAAATCCTCTCTTTTCGCTGTTTTAGCCCAGCACCCTCAATTGGTTCCAGTTGGTTCCTTCGGTCCACCGACACATTTACACGCGGTACCAAAGCAACTCTTGTTAGCTATAATAATCCAACTGTATGCATATCTATATTTATTTCTTTTTAGTGTTTTTCACTGTCATTAACTTATCA